GCCCGGCGCCAGGGCTGAGCCCGCCTGCGCTTTGCCTCCCGGCCGCCGCACTTTGGGACCTAAAATGGCGGCAGCCTTAGTGCCTCAGCGCCCCGGAGGCGCATGGGCCTAGAAAGACTACAGTTTCCAGCATGCAGTGCGGTTCCCCCTCACTACTATTGGTACGGAGGCGGAGTCTCACCAATCCTCGACTACAACTCCCAGCATGCTGCGGGGATTCTGGGCCTACCAGACCGGGCCTCTGCGGGAGACTACGGCTCCCAGCATGCAGTGCCTTGGTTCTGCAGCAGAGCCCTCGCAGTTAGCCTTCGGCGGGCTGTGAGGTCTTTTACCTTCGACCTCTCTGGTGCGGCAGCTGTTGGCTCCTGCCGCGTTGAGCCCGGTGAAGCCAACGAAATGTGGCAAAAGACCAAAGTGATGACCCTAGGTTTTCCAAATCCCTCCACCTTCCTTTTTTTTTTTGCAAGGTGGAGAAAGAGGAAAGCGAGTTACTGGTGTGGGGTGAGGTGTCAAGTGCATCCAGTTAATCCTCAATATGGAATCCACGTGTTATGAAACGATCCTGAGATGAGAGTACAATATGCACTTTTGCATTAATTCAACAAATATTTGTTGTGTGCCTTCCGTACGCCAGGCGGTGTTGTAGGCCCCGGGGAATGCCGTGGTAAACAAGACCGGGGACAAACAAAATATCACTAGTATGTCCTTTGCAGAAAATTAAAATAAGGTGGAGTGATTGAGAGTGATCTTAATTGACCGTATGGGGAAAGTCTCCGTAATGAGATGCATTTTAAGCTGAAATCTGAATGACAGAAAGCCCAGCGACTATCGGGGGACAAGTATTCCAGTCAAAGGGGACAGAAGTGGCAATATCTGACGCATGAAGGAGTTTTCTGTATTCAAGGAAGCAAAAGACCACTGCTGCCGGAACATAACGGATAAGGGGGCCATGGTATTCGAAACACTGAGCAGATAGACAGAACCTGGGAAGGTTTTTGGATTCCTGGTAGTGTTTGAATTTTAAATGAAGATGTAGGGATTAGGCCAGGGAGTGAAATGAGTGTGTGTGTTTCCAAAAGTTACCATATCTTTAGACATCCAGTAAATGCCAAGTAGGCATTTCAATTAAACTGGAGTCATGGCCATTATAAACAGATTTTAAAGCTAGGAATATGTGTAACTAAAAAGAAAGAAGGAGCCAAGAACAAAGTTCTAGGATCCTTCACCATTTAGAGGTGAAGTAAAGGAGGAAAAGGAAGCATGGAGGCAGGAGGAAAATCGGAAAGAACATAGAAGAACACAGAAGTCACCAGGCTATTGGATGCAGCAATACAGAGATCACTGGTAGCCTCATGAGCAGTCTCAGGGCCAAGTTAGAATGATTCGAGGAGCAAACAGAAGACGAGGAAAGGGAGATAAGTCTAAACTTAGGGCAACAGCTGGATAGGGCTGTGCGGTCAATGGAGGGCATTTTGAAGATGAGAGCAACTGGGACAGACTTGGATGTAAAAAGAGAGAAAAGGATGATGATATATGAGAGAGAGAAGGATTTGCAAGGGCAAAGATAGAAGTGGGGGGGGGGGATCCAGGCCACAAGTGGAGGGGTTGGCCTTTAGTAGGAGGAATGTTTCATCCATAGTGATGGCATGAAAGGCAGCTGCAGGTGCATATTGATGGCATAGAAGGCAAGGAAGACAGAGGTAGGCAGTTTGGAAATGTTGGGGTGTAGGAAATAAGGGTGTTCATTTCTGATTTGATTTTCTCATTGAATTATGAGGCAACATTATCATCAGTGAGAGGTGAAAAGAGGAATGTAAGACTTTGAAGAGAGAGCAGGAGATGTATAATAAGGAAAATAAGTATATTAGGGAAATATGGTTTTCCAGGTACAGTAAATTCGAGGGACAGTAAATGCTGTGTACATCATTGTTATTTGACTGTCTACAGGAAGGTGTGGACAAAATCCTAAACTTTGTTTTTTGTATATCAGCTGTTTAGCTTCCCTTTCTTACTGCGACATTCCTTCCCCCCCAACCCCCCCAGGTCTGATTAATCTGCCCTAGCAGTGTGATACCACATCTGGCACACCAGCTGCAATTGACACTACTACATGGTTTAGTCTGTGAAAATCGAGAGTCATTCTCCAGGATCCATCTATTTTCTGCAGACTGGCTATTAAACAAAGATTTAACAGGGACCACTACCAACCATCTTTTGGGTCTTTAATGGTGGCACTAATCTCTGCTACCCATCCTAGAACATAACAATGATAACAATGTGTGTAGGGGTCAGTTGAAATGTGTGTAGGGGTCAGTTTTAGAGGTTTCCATTTGGCCTTACCCACTATGATAGCCTCTGCTTCACAGACCAGGGCCCCAATGTGGACTTTACTCCTACCACCAAGGACATCAATTCTAATTTATGCACTTGGGGACTGGGGAAAGACACCTTGGGTAGGTGGAGCCACTGTGGCTCTCACAGGGTCTCATTTTAAAATGGGGCTTGATGACACTTGGGGCATCCATGTCAAGTCAGATTTGTAGCGACAGAGTGAGACTCCAACTCAAAAAATAGTAAAAAAAGCAAAAAAAAAACCAAAAAACAGTTCTCAAAATGTCTGGTTATTCCTCTTTCACCAGTACAGTCAGCTGAGTAAATGGCAATAGGTCTTTGGGAAATTGTCACAGTATATACTTGCCACAGTGTTGCAAGATCCTTCTTCCTGGGAAACTCTCCCCCTCTTCAGTCAATGGGTTCTGGATCTGAAAATTTTTTTTTTTTTTTTTTTGAGTTGGAGTCTCACTCTGTTGCCCAGACTGGAGTGCAGTGGCTGCTCCCAGCCACCGCAGTCTGAAAATTTACTCAAGTCTGGGAACTGAGCAAGGGACAACTGCCCTCAGCTTCTTTTTTTTTTTTTTTTTTTGAGTTGAGGTCTCACTCTGCCGCTCAGGGTGGCGTGCAGTGACATTATCACAACTCACCAAAGCCTCCATCTCCTGGGCTCAAGCAATCCCTTCATCTCAACCTCCTGAGTAGTTGGGACTACAAATGCAAGCCACCACACCCATCTAACTTTTTTATTTTAAATAGCGATGAGGTCTAACTATGTTGCCTAGGCTGGTCTCGAACTACTGGGCTCAAGCAATTCGTTTGCCTTGGCCTCCCAAAGTGCTGGGATTACAGGGTGTGAGCCACTGGTCCCGGCCTTCCATTATTGTTAATTATTATTATTATAGATGTTAACCAACAGCCTTGTTGGCTGCCTGACAATTTTGCCACTAACAACACTACGTTCTATTAATTATCTCCACTACTCGAGCCCCCTTGGCTGCTCCTTGCCTGTCATTATGGTAATGTGGGTTCCTGGCTTCTGGAAGTGAAGTGTTACCACCAGGTCTTTCTTACTTTAAGGCCTCATTCCCCTGTGAAGTTAATGAACTCAGTTCTATAACTGCCTCACCTGTAATCATCCCTAACCTGCAGAGGAGAGCCACCACTAAATGTTTTAGAGATGCTGGTATCCCTCTCATCAGGGTGTCCTTGGAGAATTGGTGTGCCATCTGGTCTCTCTTATGGGACATAATCCTCTGCTGGGTCTTCTGGCCTCATATGACTATTCATTCCAGTCTGCCCACCACTCTGAGCCATTTCATTCCCTCCTCTACCAACTGCCAGGGCATCCAAGCTTTTTCTACTTTTGCTGAGAGTTGGTTGCATTTTTTTCCAGGCTTATGAGAATTACCCCAGCAGTGAGTTTGCCCATCCCCTGGGTTGGGCACCTTGCTAGGGTGTTCATTAAATCCCATGTCCTGAGAAAATGCCGCTAGGTCAATGAATTTTTGCTTAACCAGTTATAAAGAATCTGCAGGATCCAGTCCCACATATTACCCTGGTTCCTGCCAGTAGATGCAGATTAATTTTTGTAATTCGCTCACCCTTATTAGGCCCTGCATGCCACCAGCTGGGCTATGCTGGGATTTCACCCTAGTTTTCAGCCTGCACAATACAAGTAGATGGGGAGCACCTGTTGCTTTGTAGCGGCGAGGATTCTGTGATATCTTATAGCCCTGCAGTAGGGCTGATCTTTGGTAGAGAGCAGTGGTCTGTCTCTCTGCATGCCCAGAGGATGGGTGTGACAGGGATGGGGGTTGTAGAGTCAATATCTTCAGAGGTATGCATCCAAACATCCCTGCCCCAGTGTTCAGGATTGAAGGTTTTCCCTATCAGGGCCTCCACCTCCCCATAACAGAACTGCAGTGACTGTGTTCAAACATTTCTGGAGCCCTGTGACTTCCGGGTCTTCAACCTACTGTAAAATTGTGTCTGCCATTCCTTGACTGGTGATGATGAGCTCTTTTTAAGATACCACTGGGACACTCTGCTTCTTATACTTAGCCATTCACTGTTATGGCTCTCAATAGCCTTCTGTAGGTCATTGATATAACTTAGCAGTAACCAACCAACTTCACTCTCTTTGTTATCCCATGCTTTTCAAATGCCTGCACCATTGTACCTACCATAGCATCCCCTCTGCAGGACATTTCCCCAGGACTACCAGTGAAAATGTTAGCAAGTGAACCACCACCTAGAGCTGGGGACTGTTGGTGCCACATATATCCCTCAGGATGGCTACCTTTCTGCCTGCCTGTTGGGTGTTGTGTGAGCCAGTTCCCAAATCACCATCTGACTGCCTGAGTTGTCAGACCACTCACATGACCACTTATGATAATCCAGGACCTCTGAGAAACAGTCACTAATGTGGGATTAAAAGTGCAAGGATTTTATTAGGGAAAATGCTTGTATGAAAGGAAATAGGGAGCTATGGAAGATTGGGGGAGTCATGAAACAGAGAGATGAAGGTGGTAGACTGAGGTTGGATAGAGGTGTCCTAAACTGCTATGCATGCAATCCAAAGAGGGTTTGGTAGAGCCTTTGGGAATCCTTGAGCCAAGCTGATGGGAGTCCGGTGTCTATTGGCCTTGGGTTTGCCTTGGTATCCCTACTGCACTAGATCACAGGTGGGGAGTAGCCTGAGGGGGCGTGGTTTTGGTGCAAATGTGGCAGTGAATTTCAGAGGGCAGCAGCTGATGCCCTGGGTCAGCTACACTCCTGCCTGTGAGGAGCTATCTCATGGCCATCATAAACCAGTAATCTTCCTATTGGCCTTCCTACATCAGTACTCATGAACTCTGGCTTCTCTCCTGTAACAGTGGCTGTAATGTTCAGTTCTTAGTTTCAGCAAGGGATCTCATTCTCTCTTGCCTACTGAGGGATCTTGATCCAGCAATTACCCCCTTTCCCTCCTGTATCATTCATTTCCCATAAGTACTTGATTATTTCCATCCATTTTCAGTAACATCTTCCTGACCTCAACTTTGCCTCCAGGTGCCCTCCATTTCTTCGTTCCCTGTCACAGAAAACAAAGAACTTCTGGAAAGAGTTGTCTGTACTCATCTTCAAATCTTCATTTCTCAGTCCTTTGTTCACCATAAAAAGAGTTTTCTTTTTTATGATTGATTAAATCATATAAGTTCAGCTTCAATAGCAAGAAGGCAAATATCATCTAAAATTACATTATTTTGGAAGCAGGAAGGGAGGGATAGGGAAAGGTCTGGAGAAATAAGTTTTAGTGTTCTGTACCACCATACGATGACTATAGTTAAAAATAATATATTTTGTAGTTTCAAATAGCTGCAAGGAGACTATTAAATGTTCCTAACACAAAGAAATTATAAATGTTTGAGATGATGGATATGCTAATTACCCTGATCTGATCACATACATTATATGTAGTGAGACATCACTATGTAGCCCATAAATATGTATGATTATTATATATCAGTTTACAAAATAAGATATTTTCTTCAAAAAATACATCATTTTTAAGTTTGGTAACTGTCACTCATTTGTCTTCATGTACTGTCATATTGGTTTACATAAAGAGGAAGTTTTACATGCTGCTTTTCTACTGTTTCCATTTGCCCCAGATTTGAGGGCTTTTTAATATTTTCCTATCTCTACATCTCTTGATACAGCCCCAGTGGGCCCTGCCTTGTACACACACAAAACCACCCATACACACACACACACAAACACATGCCTGCACACACGAAGTAAACAGAGTAATCTGTACACTGCCACACTTTCCATGTTCTCATACACAGCATTTGTTTTGTTTATATGAAAATAGGATCATTCTGTAGATTCTTCTCTGCATCTTACTTTTCTCATTTAACAAAACTGTGAAAAGAATCTAAGTCAACTAATACAGATTATGCGGTCAATGTGCAATTATTTATTTAACCATTCACTTAATCATTTATTGATAGGAATTAATTCTCTTTCTAGAGCTTCACCACTGCAATCAAAGATGCCATCTATCTCTATCAATATCCATCCATCGCTACACACACACTCACACGAACATGCACAAATATCCTAATATATTGGTCCTCCCCACCCATCAGCAGTGGGTTGCTGGGTTCAAGAGAATGTTTGTTTTAAATTTGAATAGATTTTGTCAGATTGCTTTCCACAAACACTGTAACCATTCACATTTCCTTCAGAAATGAGAGAGGATTTCCTTCCACCCTGATCCCCATTTCTTCTCAAGAGTACTACCCTTTAAAATTTTTGCTATCAGGTGAGAAATGCAGCCTTGCTTGTACTTTGGTTTGTATCTTTCCAACTGCTGGTGAGGTTGAACATCCTTAGTCTGCCTGAGTTTGAATTCCAGATCCATTACTTACCAACTGTGTGACCTTAGAATTATCCTCTCTGTATCAGTTTTCTCATCCTTATAATGGGATAATATTAGTTTCCATTTCATAGGGTTGTTGAGGGAGATTAGTTCTCAGAACAGTTCCTGACATGTAGTAAATACGAAAAAAAGCTGTTTTAAGTATGTTTATTGGCTGTTTGGAATACTCTTTTGTGAAATGATACATGCTTCATTTTCTATTGAGCAGTTTGTCTTTTTCTCCCTTATCAAGTGTCAGATCATATAGGTCATGCACTTTTTTTTTTTTAGAGACAGGATCTACCTTTGTTGTTTAGGTTGTGGTTCAGTGGAACAGTCATAGCTCACTGCAGCCTCAAACTCCCAGGCTTAAGTGATCCTCTCATCTCAGTTTCCTGAGCAACTAGGACTACAGGTAGGTATATGCTACCAGGCCCAGTTGATTAAAAAACATTTTTTTTGTAGAGACAGTGTCTTGCTATGTGTTGCCAAGGCTAATTTCAAACTCCTGGCTCAAGTGATCCTTCTGCCTTGGCCTCCCAAAGGACTGGGATTACAGGCATGAGTAACTGCACGTGGCCAGAGTTATGCACTTTTAATATTAAATTTATATAATTTATCAATGTATGGATTACTTTTCATTATTTTTATTGCTAACTGAATACAACTATTATAGAGAAAAATATTGCAAATATTTGTCTAATTGAGCTTTCAAAGCTATCACGTTCTCTTATTTGGGTAACACTTGTTATAAATTTTGGGTTTCCTAAGTATATAATATTATTTAAACAGGATTGGCAATCTTTCCTTTTAGAGAAACTTGGGTGTGCCAAGCCTTTCTGGTATGAAACTGTCACCTGCCCTTTTTTTCCTCTCTTCTGTCTCTAATAAAATTTGTTTTGAAACTTAAATAAAAAAATAAACAGAGGATTTTATCTCTTTTTTCCCAATGTTTGTACTGGTTTGTTTTTTTCTTGTAATAGCAGAACTTTCACCGCCATCTTGAAGCCTGCAGAGGCCTGGTGGGAACAGGACTTCTAAAAGGCAAATATGCCTGCAGTCTGTGGTTCAGAGCCATTTTTACTGGCTATACACAGTGTTTCCGGAACCAAAGGGAAGCACACAGCTCTTCTGAAAATGGAAGGTGTTTATGCCTGAGATAAAAATGTATTCTATTTGGGCAAGAGATGTGCTTATGTATACAAAGCAAAGAATAAAACCAGAGTAATCTGGAGAAAGGTAACTTGGGCCCATGGAAAAAGTGGCTTGGTTCGTGCCGCTTCCTGCTAAGGTCTTTGGACACAGAATCTGTGTGAAGCCGTACCCCTCGAGGATTTGAACTAATGGAAGGTAAATAAATAAAAGTGGACTTATGTTCTTGTAAGAAAGGAAAAAAAAAAACTTTCAAAACAGTGGTGAGCTGCAAATATCCCTGATTTTAGTAAAATGGAAAATTCTTTGTGAGCAGCAGCTGTGGCCTGTGTTTGTGGAATTCCATGCTGCTTGCAGTCTTCCCATTCTTGATTGCCCGCACTCACGTGGATCCCAGACTTGTTTAGCCAGCCTCCCCAATCACATAATCCAATTCTTTAAAAATAAATCTCTTTAGACACATGTGTGTGCTCATACTTTCCCACACCCCTTCTTCTGGTTTTGCTTTTCTGTGAATTCTGATTGATACAAATTCCAATTGTTTAGAAAGCTGTGATAATACTTGGACAAATTAAGAAGCTTCTTTTGAGCACCAGAATCAAATTTTAAAACTTAGAATTAAAATTTAGACCATCAGCTGCTCATTTTCAATATAAGCTTTTCATTTAACATGTGAATCTGTCACTAGACAAACTTCTGAAATCTGTTTAAGACAGATTATTTAAATTCACACACTTTTATTAACTCCTTCATATAAAATAACTACAGTAATATAATGGTTGGAAACATTTGAAACTTTCAGGCATGGTAATAATATTTAATATATGTATATATTTTCAAAAATTTACTTTCATTCTTAGGAAGGATTTTAATAGTCAAATTTAGTTTATTTTTTAAAAAATGCCATATAAGAGTATATAGAACCTTTAAAACAAATTAAGGATTAATTTCATAACACACAATTTATATGAAACTATTTCTGTATTCAGATAATTTGACAACATTTTTGAGACCTTGAATTTGGTGATAACATGAGCTTATATTTAGTATTTCTTGGTCAAACACACACCCCCAATATAAGCATATAATACATACTCCCTCATCCACATATATCTGTAATAAACAAACTTTCGATTTTCCTAATTTTTCTTTCGTTTCCTTCGAGGTTTGTGAAGTGGATCATAAATATATCGTCTATAAATCCTCATATAATGGAAATAACTCAAGACGAGAATACTGAAGAACAGTAGCATCAGGACAAAGAGGAAAGAAGCTACCAGGTAGGCACCTGGACTGAAATGAGAAAAAAAAAGTCATTAGGAGTCATTGTTCACACTTTAATTGTTAATTTATTTAGTCAAACAGTTTTTGAATGACTAGCTACTATGCCATTGGTAGAGAACAAAGATTAATAATACATGATGTTTATCCCCAAGGTATTTACCTTTTAGTGTTTGAGGCTGACCAAGGAGGAAAGTAGACAGTATGATCAATATAATGAGAAAAGGAAGCACAAAGTTTTGTGGGAACCACGCATCACAGAAGGTCTTCCAGTGGAGGGGACCTTTGAACTGAATGTGGGTAGGAGTTAGGTAGCTAGATTAAAATGTGAGTAGGAGTAGGGTTGAGCTAGATTAAAATGCCTAGGAGTGGAGGCAGAGACTGATGTGGAAACAGTGTTTTAGTCAAAGGAGATGCATATGAAGCACAGAAGTTTGAGAAAACCTCGAGATCACTCCCAGACATTCTGGAACTGAAACTAGATCGGTATGACTAGAGCTCAGGTGCCAGACAGAGTGAAAAGAGATAAGGAATGGTAGAGGGGCAGGGGCCAGATGAGAAAGATAGCTTATATCAAGCTAGAAAGAATGGCTGAGAGGGAACTTCAGAGGGATGATATAGGATAGACGTTTTACAGGGATGATTCTGATTGTGGTGTGAAGAATGAATGAAAGGGAAACAAGAGTATGGAGGCAGAAATAACAGTTATGAGGTATTTGCAATAATCCAGGCAAGCTATGATGAGGGACTTAACAAAACTAGTTGCTGGAGAAGTGGATAGATCTAAGATATACTTAGAAGTTAGATTGGATTGGTTTAGGTTGGTTAGATTGATAGTCAGGATGTAAGGTTTGAGTTTGAGAAGTATGAAGGAATAAAGGATGTCTCTCAAGTTTGGGTTAGGTTACTGCAAAGATGGCATCATCATTCACTGGTAGAGGACATTCAGAGGAAAGAACACTGTTTTTTTTGAGTTGGAGTCTCACTCCGTCACCCAGACTGGAGTGCAGTGGCCGCTCCCGGCCACCGCAGCTTCGCCTGCTGGGCTCTAGCAATCCTTCCGCCTCAGCCTTCCGAGTAGCCGGAATTACAGGCATGCGCTACCACGCCCGGCTGATTTTTTGATTTATTGTAGAGATGAGGTCTCGCTGCCCAGGTGGGTCTCGAACCCGCGGGCTCAGGCAATCCACTCACCTCAGCCTCCCAAAGGCTCAGGGATTACAGGCTGAGCCACCGAGCCCGGCTGGAAAGAACACTTTTTAAAGGGTATGTGGGCATATGGTTGGTTTACGGTGGGGACATATTGAATTTGAGATACATGAGGGTCAACTAGGTGTGTATGTGTGTGTGTGTGTGTGTGTGTGTGTGAGTGAGTGTGATACATCACTTGTTCGATGCTACTCTCAGCTGTGTGCCAGATGTCTCTTCACCTGGCACTGAGCATGAGTACCTCCCACCATAGTGAATTTATTTCTTAAGCCAGACACTGTGCTGCTTTGTATTTGGTGTCCTGGTATCTGACATTAGTTTTGGGTTCTCTTTTAAATCATAATTCTTTGTTTTCAGTGTAGCATTTCCCCTTTGTCTGACCTTTCTTCTCTGTGGCAATAAACTTAATCTGGTTCCGCTGAATGATTTCCTTCTTGGAACTTAATTAAATAATGTAACCATCTGATATATGCCAGGCACTGTGCAAGGTGCTGGAAATACAATGATGAATAAACACGTGGACATTTTAGTGAGGACATAATCATTAATCAAATAATGAGAAAATAAATGTAAAATTGCAACTGTGGTAAGAACTAAGAAGGAGAGATTTACAATGCCATGAAAGCTTCCTATAGCAGGATTTAACTGGTGAATGGATAAAGAAATGCCTTCATGGGGAAAAAGATAATTATCCTGAAATATGAAAAATAAACAGAAGTGAAGCTGGTAAAGTTAAATACATAAAGATGGGAGGGAAGAGAATCCAGATGGAGGAAATAACATGTGCAAAGGTCCTGCTATGGGACAGAGTATGGCAAAGGATGAGGAGAGAGAAGGTTGGTGCCTGAAGCTGAGAAAATGTGGGGGAAAAGATCCAAGATGAGACTGGAGAAGTAGATAAGGACTAGATCATGCAGGGTCTTGTAGACTATGTTAAGGAGTTTTAGTTTCAGGGAAAGAAATGTAAGGGTTTCAAACTACTAACACTAGCACTTTGAAAAGATTTCTCTGACTCCAGTGAGGAGAATAAACTAGAAGAAAACATGAGTGAGTGAGGGGATATCTGTTAAAAGTCCACTGCAAAAGATCCGTAGCTTGGATTAGGATAGTGGTGATGGAATTAGTGGGACGTGGATTCACTCAAGGACTATTTAGAAGATTAAATGAATGGGCACCAGTGACAGTTTGGATGAGCTTTGTGGGGGGTAGGGAGTGGGGGGGGGGAGAGAGAGAGAGAGAGAGAGAGAGAGAGAGAGAGACATGAGCCCTAGGTTTTTGGGTTTGGGTTTCGACTCCTAGGTGTTTGGCTTGCATAGTTGGATGCGCTATTTCCTGCAAGAGGAAATGTTGGAAAACAGGGTGGCCATGCTGCTCAGCTCTAAAGGATACCACTTCATAATAACTTGTGTGAATAGATTCTCCTGGAGCCGTGTAAGGACAATCTATATGACTATATGTAATTACCCTGATTCATCAGTTTTAAGGTGGAATAAATAATGGAATAGTTCACTTTTAGACATGTTCAGTTTGACTAGTCTTTGAGACATCTAAGAGATGAGGTTTTAGTAGACAGTGGATATGTGGGTCTGGACTGGGTTAGAGATATGATTTTGGAGTCTTGTGTATATAGATGCTAATTGAAGTCATGGGTAGATGAACCCTGGACTGAGCCTTCAGGGAGGTCAACATTTAATGATTAGTAAAGGGGAGAGAGAGAGAGAGAGAGAGAGAGAGAGAGAGAGAGAGAGAGAGAGAGAGAGAAACTTTAGAAGTTTAGAAAAACCCCAAGAGTGATGCAACAGCCAAAGGAAGAGTCAACACTGATGTATGAAAGATCAAATAAGACGAGAACTGGTGGTCGGGTCTGGTGGCACACGCTGTAATCCCAGCACTTTGGAAGGCTAAATTGAGAGGCTTGCTTGCACCCACGAGTTTGAGAGCAGCCTAGGCAACATAGCGAGATTTTATCTCTATAAAAAAATCAAAAAGTTAGCTGGGCATGGTGGCATGCCCTGGAGGTTTGAGACTGCAGTGAGCCTGAGCAATAGCGTGAGACCCCAACTAAAAAAAAAAAAAAAAAAAAAAAAAAAAAATAAAAACTGAAAAATATATTAGCTTAATTTAGGCCAAAGCTATTCTAATGAGGACTAATTGGTAGAGTGATAAGATAGAAACAGGACTGGATGGATTGAAGGAGGAGGGCTGGACACAGGGAAATGGAGAGTGTGATTGAGGACAGGCCTTTTGAGACGTTTGAAACTTTGAAACTTGAGGGTTATTAAAAACCCATTGGAATAATCTAGTTGAGAGGGACAGTGGAATATATAGAAAAGAGAAGGAATAATTTATTTGAAAGCTCCCTTAGAAAGTGGAAAGGGATAGGGTGCAAAGCGAAGGTAGAATTATATTTAAAAGGGAGGAATGTTTCCTTTATTGTAACAAGATGGAAGGAGGGTCCAGATGTTAGTAGATTTTTATGTTTGAAATCAGGAATAGAGGGAGTTCCTGTCTATAGCTTTGAATTTCCTTGTAAAGGTGGAAACAAGCTTGATTGATTGTTGATTGTTAAGAAAAACAGGTTTGAGGAGGAAGCTAATTAGAAAAAATCTACAATAGCTGTAACAAAAGAGTGTAAGCACTGGTTGACCAGAGAGATTCCCAGGTCTGCTTACAGTTGGTGAACAATCTTCCTTCCCTATGGGTAACTTTCTTTCCCAGTACTGGGCTGCTCAGATATAGTCACAGAGAAACTAATCAGTTGAGGATTTGCCAGTTAGGAGACCAAATCCCAAAAGGGTAAGGGGAAAGTGTTATTGAAATAACAGACTTTGGAATGTAAGAAAATGGAAAGTAAAGAACCAGAGGTTGAAAGTGAAGATGGAAGTTCCGGTGAGGAGGAAGAAGGGTTGTAGTGGGTGTAATGGAATTAACAAGCTGGAAGGACATGAGATCATGGTCAGAGAATGGGACCTCTGAGTTGATGGTTTAGGACTCAGAGAAGTTACAAGTGATGACAGTGCCAAGGTGTGACCGTGGGAGTGGATGACTAAAGTGCAGTTGAGGAGGAGGTCACCAAGGATGAGGAGAGACCATGACGCTGAATGGTGGATGTGACACTGATGGTGGGCTTCATGTGGGGAGGGAAATAGTGTCACACGGCCAAAGTTGTTGAACAAAGGGGAGTTTGGAGAGAACACAGTGGTGAGGACAGAGAGAGCTGGGGCTGGGGCAGATGCCTTGAGCCTCAAACAATCAGAGTATATGTTGTTTTGATTCGGGGTTTTTAAAAATTTATTTGTAAGAACCAAGATAAATACTGATCTGGAAGTGGTAATAGGGCCCTGAGGTACATGGAGGGTGAAAGAAAATAGCATTACTTGAGAGGGTTGAGGTGAAGCAGTGTCCTCGGGGAGAGCCTGGTTTCACCTAAGGAGAAAGAGCTCAGAGGGTATTTGAAGATTTAGGTGAGTTTGCTTGCTAAGTGATACTATTTTCAGAGGGTAGAATGGAAAAATGTGGAAAGTGGTGGAGGAGTTGAGCGCTGGGCTGGAAGCAAGGATGTACCAAGCTCTTTGCCTTCTACCAACTGATCTCCAATCACTGCTCACGAAAAGGGTGTACTTGCTAGGAAATATTTATCTCCAGCTTGCCCTGTCTGCCTCTGGTACTCTTCAGGGCCCAGGTGATAATGAAGGCTAAAGGACAGTAACTAAGTTAAAGAACTATCCCCTTTGCTGTGCCCACATTCCCTGGCTGCTGGACTTCAGCTACTGGCAGGTAGAGCTGGGAATGTGAGTGAGCTGGGCCTCTTCCCTTGATCTTCTCCCCCCCTCCCTAATTCACTCGCCCTCTCTTCTGTTGGTGGGTACTTGGGTGGATATACCTTAATATTGAACTAAACCAAACATACCAACCTAACGAGGAAGAGAAGTCACATAAAAAGGCGCTACAGTGTTTCCCAAAGTTACTTAGAAACAACTCTTGGTTTATCTCATTTGCAGATTATTCACACCATTTACCTTCCATTAGCACACATCGTCAAGAAGTCAGTAACATTTAAAGTAGAGCCATGAGTAACTTCACTGTTTTTCGTGTACTCTTGTTTAACAGTTTACCATAACCAAACAAACGAAAAACCAAAATCCACCCAAATTCCAAAAGCCAGACCCAGGACAGAGTAGTAAAGTCATCTGAGGTCCTAACTTTAGTATTCAGACTTTTAATTCTGCTCTCCAAGAGAATGGGAGCTGAGTCCGGGGAAATACGTTCACCGCCTGTTTTCTGGACACATCAGAATGAGGGTCAGTGGTTGTGAGCTGACTCAGGCATGGAGTGGAGGGCACAGTGCCTGTTGCCTCCCAATCCCCACAGCTCATTCAATCATCTGTCGAGTAGGTGGAGTTGAGAGACATGTTTGATAGGAAGACAGTGACTGTTGAGTAGGATAGAACAAAAAGGGACCCTTGTTGCAGTAGCAATTCTTAGGAGTTCCTTCCTGCTGTATCCCTGGTATAAAACACACATATAATTTTTAGAATGTCATATATAGGGCAGAAGCATCAGGGCTCCAGGAAAATAGCAAGTTTCTGTCATCTGGGGAGACAGATTTCACAGTTAGTACAAAAAAAATCTAAATATAGACTTATAAAAGTCATTGACTTTGCAATAGACACTTCATACAAGTTTAGTATTTTGTTTTGTTTTGTTTTTAGGATTCATTTCTGTTATATGCTATATGATAATATTTTTCGCAGTAAGATTTAAGCTGGGGACCCTAAGGAGGGATTGTACAAGTTATGTATTTGGTAGACACTGGGAGAGGTGCTTTTCCTTTTTAACTGCCACTAGTATCTTTTAGAAATTAAAGCCTGATTTCATGCTCATTACCTGGGAATCACTCCAAAGGTTTCTATTGCAAATATAGCTGTTAGGTTACAGAAACTGCAAATTAGAAAAATAATATTAAATTAAATACAATATATTTTAAAACTCCACATCTCTATGGTAACAATCAAATCATATATAATCCTAGTTAAGGTGCCATTTTCTTGACAAGAGACAGAATGGATATATTTATAGAACAGCTGTGATGATTTTTCCATATGTGTATCTCTGGCTTCTCCAAGATTCCTCAGAGCTTCTGACAGTCTTACGTCATTTTGATAGTGGTTCCCAAAACAACGGTAATAATGACATTAATCATGATAATAAGTATTGACAGAAATAATAAGCAGTTAACATTTATTGAGGATCAATAGTTATTGAAAAATGAATGCTAACTGAGCATTTGCTGTGCATCAGGCAGTGTACCAAATGCTTACACGCACTGTCTTAGTTAATCTTCTCAACCACTCTTCCTTTTAGTTGAGGAAACTGAAGCTCAAGATAGGCTAAACAACTTGCAAAAGTTTACACAGTTGTTAATAGAAGAACTTGGATTTGAATTCCAATTTTTCTGACCCTGGAGCTCATGATGCTCAACTGGTGTAGACTGACACCTTCAAGATGCTGAGAGTGTTAGGAATTCAGTCTATGGAACTGTATGATCATGTATGAAGTTACTGAATATCTCTCATAATTCAGCATATTACCTGGAATGATGCAGGAGGCTCAATAAACACTTATGACATGATTTTACCTACCTTTATGTGGAAGGACAAAGAAGAAAGAAGCTTGAGTATTTGCTATATGCTCAGCAAAGTTAAAGATTTTTACCCAGGTGCTTCAGAATACTATAAGATAGGTATTTTTGACCCATTTTCTAGATAAAGAAGTTCAAAGAGACTAAGCAGTATGTTTTAAAGGTGCATAGCTAGTAGTGACAAAATTAGGATTCAAACCAAAGTAGACCCTATCATTATATCAACTTGTGGAATTGGCATGTAAACATGACCCACAAACAATACAAGATAATGCATTTATTATAAATAGTAATGAGTGATAGATACACTTATCACAGAAATTTTCACAGCAAGGTAATTATCAAGACTCGACTTGAGGCTGATCAAAAAGGCTTACACTGGGTCCTAAAAAGTAAGGGGCATACATTTTCATGGCCCACTTTGGATTTTGGAGGTAACATATATCACATTTGGATGTGTTTCTCCAAATATGCAGAAGGACCTGAAAGTCTGCCAGAGTGAGATCCAGGGCAAAGAGACCCTTTCCAGATGGTCAGGTGATGCAAACAGAGCTGAGATTTGGCTCTTAGGACCTAACAGATCTAAAGGTGCTTGATGTTTCTTTGGCAGATTCAGAAACTGTTATGATTGTTAAGTTCTGATGAGGAATATAATCGGATGCCGCTACAGTTTTGAAACAAATGCAAGCATTGTTGGCCAAGTAACAATTTTTCTGAGAAACAGCACATAGCTTGGGCCTTGTTAGCAACTGAACTTTTGACCACAAAACACCAGGTGACCACAAAACCTGGGCTCCTATTGTAATTGACTGTTATCTTATCTCGAACATCATTAAGTCAGAAGTACTCAGCTGAATTCTGTCATTAGGTGCAAGTGATAACGTACAGAACTGGTCTTGGGATTCCTAAATGCACAAATAAGGGTATGAATAGCTGATTTGTAGCTACAGTTTGCCTAGATATGGGGAGTTCTTCGCTAACTATAAAGAACAAAATCTGAGAAAGATTTACATGTGGCTCTGAATCTAGATGTGGACAGTTGTGGCACTACAACTCCATTCAGATATCGTTTTGAGGAACAATGAGGGGAAAAAAGTCTCCCAGTAGAGAGAACTTTAAGTATATGTTTTTCCATTTTTGCTAATAGGAGAGATGGTCTGAGGCAGAATCTTGGGCAGGGGCTAAATGTTTGGTTACATGGCAAGGACTTGGAAAAAACAAGGGTCGAGGAGAAGAAATTTTAGGGAAAAGGTATGTAGATGAACTTGTTGGAATGAGACTGGAATATCTGAATAATTGGGTCTTGTATGAGTGTTTATCAAAAGATCTTTACTAGAGAGGAGGCTCTTATTTTATGACATGATCACCATATGGTTAGTTGCTTTTCCCAACTCCTCGGATGCTTGTTCAATGGGCTCATAAACAATGTGGAAATGGTACCTAGGATGGCTTCATAAGCCTGGGTTTCCCCTCACCAAGGCTGACATGGATACTACCGCTATGAAATATGGCAGTCCCCCTTTATCCACAGGGGATACATTCCAAAACCCCCAGTGGAGACTTGAAACCATGGATAGTACCAAACACTATACACTGGTTTTTTTCTATACTTACAAACCTATGATAAAGTTTAATTTATAAATTAGGCACAGCAAGAGTTTAACAACGATAGCTAGTAACAAAAGAGAACAATTATAACACTATGAGAGCATCACTGCTCTTGCGCTTTGGGGTCATTATAAAGTAAAAGAGAAGGGTTACTTGAACACAAGTACTGTTAAATCACGACAAATGATCTGATAACCAAGACCTACTAAGAAACTAACAAGTCAATAGTGTAGTCAGCACTGATATGCTAGGCAAAGGCGTGATTCACATTCTGGGCAGGACAGAGTGGGATGATGCGAAATTTCATCATGCTACTCAAAATGGTGTACAATTTGAAACTTATGAATTGCTTACTTCTAGAATTTTCCACTTGATATTTTGTTGACTACTGTTGGCCATGGGTAACTGAATTTTGTTGACTACTGTTGGCCATGGGTAACTGAATTTTATTGACTACTGTTGGCCATGGGTAACTGAATCTGTGAAAAGCGAAACTGCGTAAGGAGGAAATAGCATGCAGGTATATTTTGTTTTATTGAACTTCATTTTATTGTGCTTTGCAGATACTGCAGTTTTTACATAGTGAAGGCTTGTGGCAACCCTGTGCTGAGCAAGTCTATTGGTGTCATTTTCCCTACAGTATGTGTTCACTTTGTGTCTCTGTGTCACATTTTGGGAATTCTCACGATATTTCAAACTTTTTCATTATTGCTATATCTGTTATGGTGTCTGTGATCAGTGATCTTTGATGTTAATATTGAAATTGTTTTGGGGTACAATGAACTGGACCCACATAAGACAGGGAACGTAATTGATAAATGTGTATGTTCAGAATGTTCCACTGACCTAGTATCCCCGTTTCCTTCTCCTTGGGCCTCTCTATTCCCTGACACACGGCGATATTGAAATTAGGCCAGTTAAAAATCCGACAGTGGTCTCTAAGTGTTCAAGTGAAAGGAAGAGTCACATGTCTCTCACTTTAAATCAAAAGTTAGAAATGACTAAGCTTAGTGAGGAAGGTATACTGAAAGCTGAGATAGGTCAAAACAAAACAAAACAAAACAAAAACTAGGCCTCTTGCACGAAACAGCCAAGTTGTGAATGCAAAGGAAAAGTTTTTGAAGGAAATTAAGAGTACTCCTTTAATGAACACATGAATGATAAGAAAGTGAAACACCTTTACTTCAGAGATCTCTTTAAAAAATTTCAGCATTTAAGCATACCTGCTTTGTATTCTATATCTAATAAATCTAATATTGGATGCCTTTGTGGGTTGTTTTTATAGACTGTTGTTTTTTATTTCTTTTCTGTTTTGCTTGTTGGAACTTTGGGAATTTTCTGAGGTTTGAGCTTAAAGTACATTCCTCCAGAGGATTTGCTTCTCTTGAGCATATTGGAAGCACTAATAAGCTGGGACCAAAATTAAAATTTTGACTAGATTATTAACCTTTTTTTGGATTACTAATTCAAAAGAGTTTTAGTGAAGAGAAATAAGACTATAAGTCAAAATAGGGCTGGGTGCAGTGGCTCATGCCTGTAATCCCAACACTTTTGGGAGGCGGAGATGAGATGATTGCCTGAGTCCAGGGTTTCGAGACTAGCCTGGGCAACTTGGTGAGATCTCGCCTGTACAGTAAATAAAAAAATTAGCTGGGCATGGTGTTACATGCCTGTAGGTTCAGCTACGTGGAAGGCTAAGGAGGCAGGATCACCTAAACCCAGCAGTTTGAGGCTACGGTAGTCGTAAACAGGCCACTGCACTCCAGCCTGGATGACAGAGTGAGACTCCGGTTTTAAAAAAAAAAAAAGACAGTAAGTCAAAATAGGAGTTAATGTCAAACTCTTTCACAATAAAAACTTCAAAATATTGCCAACATGAAATTTTCAGCACAAGGCATTGTATTTCAAACCCCTTGGAGGCAGTTATTTATAATGAGATTAAGAATATTCTTAACTTGTTTCAGGTGGGTAAGTAAACATGTTTACAGCTCCAATAATGAGTTTGAGGCCTAGATTGTTGTGTAATATAAGCAATATGAAATTTTAAAAATGTATGAAAATATCTACAGGATTTTCCTAGAGTCTATCACTAACAGCCAATAGCTTTCATATGAGGCCTACAAGAGCAAATGACAATATTCTGTGTTACGAACCACTTTCTCAGAAGGCCAAAAATTAAAACCAGATACTAAAAGATGCACATTACTACTATGTTTAGATCATCCTTACTGATGTATGTATAATTAGAAATAGATTTGTCTTTCCTCAGTCTTTAACCAGAAGAGAATATTGTTCTTTTTAGACGCTCAGGTAATATGAAATCCAGCCTCAAATCTATTAAGGGTAGATTTGTAGTTAAAATTCTTAGGGAAAAACTTCCTTGAACCAAGACTGATTCAGGCACGTATCCTCACTGTCCCCTACGGTAGGTTCTCTGATCTAATCTTTCTCTATGCTATGGCTTCACACTTGTTCTCATCTCCCCTACCTGTGGCCTTGTGATCCAGGTCGCCAAGGATAGGCAAGATAACCTTAGGGAGTATATAGTGTCTTTAGCTAACTCCAACAGAATCTAATGAATTTATACTTTTTTGAAATTTTTGTCCTGCAAAAGGCCTTAGTCTTCCACCAATTTGATCATATATTTAAACAGGTGTATGTGTTTTAAGTTTTATTCAGCATTTTTAGGTGT